CGTTTGATAATTTCCAAGGAGAGCCTATAGGTCCCATCCTTTCGATTCCCCATCTATTCTATTCTATTCTATTTCATTTCGGATATTTGCCAATAATTATAAATTTATCTATTGATAGACTCAACTATTTAAGCTGATCAATAACATATATACCTTATGGATTTATGGATACCCAAGGATTTAAATATTTATTAATATCCTTCGAAAGGGTATATAAACTATCCATATACAGAGAGAGTTGACTCTTTAAGCTGATCAATAACATATATACCATATGGACTCAGCCCTAAAGGCGTTACATATTTGATTCTCAAATTTTAAGTATCCTTCGATAGGGTATCTAAACTGTGCTCAAAACGGATATGCCCGCAACAAAAGCGACTAGACACAGTTTTAAATGCCACAAACTTACAGATGAACAGGAAAAGTTCACTTCAACTACACAACTTTAGGGCACAACGCAAGTATATCAAAAACAAAAATATTTCAAGCTCAAAGTGAACATTCCTTTTTGACTGCTCGCACACAGAATTGAGATCTCGATTCTAAACAGTTCCCAAGTTCAATGCACCATTTGCATATCTCCATCTGCATTCTGGCCACTTGAGAATCATCTGTTCGGGCATTAAAATTCCCATAGTTGGCTGCCCACATAAATAAAACTGCCCATAAAATGCAATTAAAATATACGAGCAAGAAATAATTTTAACAATTCTAATTTGCATTTAATAAACTCATCAAAGTGAAGTTTTTTAAATTCCCATAAAAAAATAATAAAATAAATAAAGAAGCAGCTCAATTCGAAGAGCGTTTGATATGACCCCATTTTTTACACCTATAAAAAAGAGCCAAAAACGTATAAAAAATGAAAACGTGTCGAACGGCGTTAAAAAAGCAACTATAAACACAATGCCACATGCCACATGCCACATGTGTCCAAACAAAGGATTTTCCAGCGAATGCGACGCTAATTGCAGCCGTAGATAGGGAAAAATAGAAAAATAAACGACAGCATATCCAAAACTAACCCGGCCAGAAACTATAAACTATAAACATTTTACAATTTGAACTAAGCATAAAACGAAATTAGTGGAAAAAAATGTTAAAATCATTTTACGATATTTGGGGCACACTCACGCATAACACACACATATATATATATGTATATGTGTGGAGCTGCTAAGTAAGTAGCCCCCGAAAAAGAAAAACCGAGTTCATAAATTTTCAAATGCGCCGCGGGGCAGACAGACGCGTGTTCCAAAATGTCATAAACTAGACGCAGTTCCATGTATATCTCTCGGCTCTGACATTTTGAAAGCCCCCCAAAAAAACACACGTGTCTGCGTGTGTGTGTGTGTGTGTGTGTGTGTGTGTGTGTTGTTAAACTTTTTGGTGTGGCATAAAACTGTCAAATTAGCCGCGCAGCACACGAAACGAAACAAAACGAAACGAAATGCCATTCAAAATATTCTAATAGCCAAGTTTGTTGCATATTACTAATTTCCAGCTGTATCCGAACATTGCTGACATGCCACAGCTACAACAGATAGATATTATTTAGCTTATGTCGTGGCAATGCACTCGGAGAAATATTTAAGTATTTTTTACTTAATTCTAGAGATAACGAAATTAACATCCAGCCCGGACCAATATTTCTTTGCCTCAGTCAAAAATTCTCTTTTCTATAACTTTTTTGGGTACCCAAATTTCTTATCTTAAACTTAAGTTAAGTTTTTGGTTCTACACACTGAGAATGTTTCCAGAATATTTTACTTAATTTAAGTTCGAACTTAGAAAAAGTTCCGCATAGTTCAATACTTTTTTAACTGAGGGAGAAATTCATCTGCTTAGCAGTTTTTATAACTTGAAATTTATAATCTGTAAATTTATTCAAATTATTGTTATAGGCTCGAAGGATAATTCAAACATTTTTTTACTTAGTTCAAGAACAAACAACCTAATCCAAGGCTACTTTTCATTTCGTAACATCAAAAAGCAACTTTGAAATCAAGAAGAATACAACTCAATTGAACAATATTTATTAAAACCTAAAACCAAATTTAGTTTAAGCTTGTAAAAACAAAGCGATATTGATTTCAGTCCGATTGTATTAGAAATTGGAATGCAGCATTTTCTCTGACTGGACTTGGAGTATACTCCTAGCTGATGGCTAGTTGAAAAAGTAATGTAGCTAGCTTCTGACTGCATACTTTGCTTAATAATAGTCAACTTATGTATTATCAACTTCTTCATAACCAATTCAATAAATTGGTTTTGCGGTTTTTTGCTGCTCTAGCTACTGATTGGCCTTGCGTGCGGGTTGTTGTTAGGGTGGTTTTATATAAACGTTTCACTGAGCCACTTCAGCAGCTGTTTGATTTTCCAGCATGCAATTTGTGCATATGCCAGGGTGTATTTTTCTTCTTCTTCTTCTTCGTACATATCATGCCAGAAGAAAAGGAACCTTCGCTGCACAAAAGGCAACATTTCAATAAATTCATCAAGAGAGAGATCCAGGGCCCAAAAGGCGCAACTCATGCCGCGTCCACTTCAACTAATTTCCACTCTTCTTGTCAGTCTCTCTCCCTGTCGCTCTCTAAATGCACAATAAATGGAAAACTAACAACTGTTTTTGTCAGAAGTGTGCAATGCAAGGCAAAGGTGCCCCGGGCAGCCAGAGCTATTGTTATTGTTGCTGCTGTCAGCTGGCTTAAAGGTGCTCGGTTGGGGTTTATGTTCTGTTACCTGGTTTCGTTTTTATTGTAACAGAATTTGATTACGAAAATATGCTAACACCTCGCTGGCCAAACAATGGCTCTGGCCATGCTTCATCATCAATTAGAGTTACCTTTCCGCAGGCCAGGATCAACACGGCTCCGATCCAGCCCTATCATTATTGCATTAGCAGGGAGAGAGGGAACAACGAGCAGGGAGAGAGTGGTGGAGAGGGGGAGCGGGAGGGTAAGACACCTTTTGGCCACTACTGTGTGCCTTCTTCTGGCCCTCCGGTCTGCTCCATTAACATTTATTTCTTGTTGCTTGTCTTGGCATAAATTAAAAATCATGTATTTGAATTTTCTTTTGTGTTTTCCTCTTCCATATATCTGTATACGTGTTTTTTTTTCGGGGCATTAAACGCCTGTTTTCCGTTGATTTCCATTGTGTTTGATTTAAGCCGATAAAAGGTAAACTTTAACGCTTCTTACACGCCGCAGCTTTCAACAGATTTATTTATGCGCCATGCATGGCCAAGACATCAAAGAGCCAAAGAGCTGCGGCCACGGCTTGTTGGCATTCAATTAATGGCCGGCCCGTGTTGCATGCAACATCACACACACACACACAACACAACACATGCACAACAATTCAATTGTGCATGCAAATTGATGCAGCGCCGGAAATTTAAACATTGCATTTCCTCAAACGAAAACACGAGATTGGGAAAACGAAACTTGAAGAAAATTACATTTCTGAGCATTTATTTATAATACAAGTGCTGCCTGCAGCTGTTGTCTGGCTGTCTTTCTATTCAATCGTCAATCATCAATCTGCAATCAAATTCAATTCAATCAAATTCAATTTGGCTTAACGCATAAACCCATTTTTTGTACGGCTACCTGAACTGCCATTGTCCTTTCAGCTACTCGATTGAATGCTCATTATTTTACCATTTCATAATACACATACTCATACGAGTGTGCCTGAAGTGTGTGTGTGTGTGCGTGTGCGTGTGCGTGCGTGCGTGTGTGTGTGCGTGCGTGCTGAAGTGTCATTGTATTCTGCAAAGGATCCTCTCCCTACTCCCCTCTCACTCTCTCTCGCTCTGAAGTGCAGCTCACACTCGAACGCACTTTTTAAGTATTTATTGAATACTCTTGCATAGGTGAATGATTCGAACGATTCGCATTGTTTGCCAAGTGCCAAAAAGGGGTGTGTCAATGCACACAGGGTGTGTGTGTGTGGGAAGAAGTGGTATGGAGCGCGCAACACACTTCGCAGAGCAATAACAATTGTCAAATATGAGTTGAGTGCCTTGTAAATTTTATCTGCAGGATATGGGTTGCTTGTTATTTAGCTGTGCCGTTTGCCTGCTTACAATAAACTTCTTTAAGTCTGCTAAGCTGCTCGTGATAGGATTTTTAAGTTAAAAGCACACAATTGTGAGATCAGTTGAGTGCCTGGTAACTTTTATCTCCAGGATATAGGCTGCTTGTAAGCTAGCTAATGCTTGGCAACGACCTGTGGTCTATTTAGAACTATCTTCTAGACTGTGACAGGATTTTTAAGGAAATAACCACCAATTGTCAAAGTTGAGTTGAGTGCCTGGTAACTTTTATCTGCACTTTATGAGTTGCTTGTAATTTAGCAAGTGCCGGTGGCCTGTTTAGAACTACTTCTATAAGCTAACAAAGCCTGCCTGTGCCCGGATTTATGAGTAAAAGCAAACAAAAATCAATTTTAATAATGAACAGATGACACAAAGAGCAAAACATGAACTCTTCCAAAAAGCCGCTCACCCAAAGGCGAAAGTGCTTAAGCATATGCATATTTTATCAGGCAAATGAAAAGCAAATAGAACAACTGGCAAACCAGGCAAATTACAGACACAATGAACAACTGAAACAAGCGCATTACAAGGATAACACGCAGAGGGACTCTGGGCTGACCCAAAGGCATTAGCAGAGCCACCATCTCTTTCTCTCCTTCTCTCCCTCTCTCTCCCTCTCTGGCTAGAACAAAAGCGAAAAGCGAGTGAGAACAAAGCGTTGACTGTGAAATAAAATGCGCATAATGTGTGTTATCAGGCCAAAAGGAGCAGAAAGGACACCTTTTGTGTCGGTAACTGTTACATAAACGCGCACACTTCGTGTGAAATAGGAGCGGGCAGTTTTGTTTTATTAGGGACTCCGGGCACAGGTAGCATTAGGCACAATGCCAGACAAATTTACCGACTTGACCAAAACTAATCTCCACGATTGTTTTCATCTTCTGTGCCACAGTTACGCAACGTGATCAATTGTCCCAGCTACTCGGACGTATATGGCACCCATGCAGGCAAAAACCTGGACCTGGCCTTTAACAGATGCCAACAATGGAGCAACAAGCTGCAGCCATCAACAACAGCCACAGCCGAGGAGCCCGCACAGAGTCGCACGCACAAGGTCTACGACAGCATGAAGAACTTTTTGCAGCGCAAACTGTTTGCGCAACCCTCGCAAAAAGATCGCTTGCAATGCGAGGAGCCAACCAGCGACTATGATGAGGTGTGTATAAAGCTAGATATAACTATGTGGAACTCTTCAACTAATAGAAGAACCTAAAAGAGTAGGAAGACAGGCAGTGGGATACTCTTGATAAGGACGAGGAGCTCCTTTCATCTTTTTGTCTGTATAAAACTGCCAGAGCTTAAGACTTCAGATGTAAATTATATATATTCTCGAATATCATACGCAGGACATGCTCCTAATTTCATGTCGATATCATCTCTTTATTCCATAATATCGATAAATATCGGTATATATAAATTGGGATAATGTTATAGACCTGCTTTGCTTATCCCCCCCATAATGGAATTGAATCAAGAGCCAATTATAGCTTGTTGCTTTATTGCTTCTCTTAGACTAAAACTAAACTTTATTTTTTAAATAATATTTTGATTTTAATATTTTGATCAGCGCATTGAGATCTTATACAATATTTTGTATAGTAGTGTTAGTGATTTTTCCTACTTGGTAGGTCGGCAGCTCTGATTTTGTTAGACTTCTGGTAGATGACATTTGTAGCAGTTAAATATAAAGAAAATATTTGTATACACCAGCGCTGAGCGCCTAATTGCTGCCTATACCTTGTTCTTATGCTTAACTAATCGAAATTTAATTTATTTTGCAGCAGGACCTACTCGACTCCTCGTACCATGCCGACGCGGAGGAAGATGAGGAGGAACTGGTGGCCAATTGCAGCTGCAGCTCCAGCAGCACGCCGAAGCGTGTCCAGCACAACAACAAGTCGCCGCAGAAGTCGCTGCTGTCGCTCAACTGCTGGCAGAGCAGCCAGCCCAGCGACACGAGCAGCAGCAGCAGCGAGGATGCGCCGCCCGACGACCACGATGAGTCCGATGCGGGCATCTCCGACTGCTGTCAGCTGCTCAACGAGCACAGCAACAACAACAGCAGCAGCAGCGCAAGGCGCCGCAGCACGCCGAGGAGACGTGCCACGGCACGCTGGAACAGCAACTCGGACGATGAGGAGTGGGAGGAGGAGGAGCTGTTGCAGTGCGCCTGGTATCAGCCGCGCATCACGGCCAAGGCGGCGCAAGAGCATCTGCAGTCGGCCACGCCCGGCAGCTTTCTGCTGCGTCGCAGCACGCCGCGCCGCTTCGAGCTGTGCCTGCGGCTCGAGCACAAGGTCAAGTGCTATGCGGTGCAGTGCAGCCGCAGCGAGATGTACAGCCTGAAGGGCGCCAAGAAGCAGTTCAGCACGCTGAAGGCGCTCATCACCCATCACTCGGTGATGGCCGAGCAGCTGCCCCTGACCCTGGACATGCCCAGGGAGCGGGACCTGGTCAAAAGCGCCGCGGTGCGCTATGCGGACGACTTCGAGCCGCTCGAGTCGCTGCAGCTGCTGGGCATACTGAAGAGCCTGCAGGCCAAGAACTTCGAGGCATAGGCGTAGACTAGGCTGGTAGCTGGTAGCTGGTAAGGGGGATCTTTTTTATCGAACTGCAAAGGGAACGATAGGTGAAAAATTATGCTAAGTTATTTAGAGTTCTTGTGATATAGTTTACGATAAATGCGACCAGGTTTTAGCTCTTAAGTCTGTCTATATTAATGCGAACCAAACCGAAATTGTGTTTATGCTTAAGTTTTCAATTGTACACTAAAATATGCGAGCTATCAAAAGGTAATATAAATAAAATTTAAACAATGTAATTGCAACCCCAAAACCCTCTCCCAACATGCATGCTGCCTGCCCCACCCCTTTGCCCCGCCCCTTTTCGGATTGTTGCTGCGTAAATTTCCAACATCCTGCAGGGCAAGCCTGGCCAGGATTGCGCTTCACTTACATGTGATTAGCGCTTCAAGTGCCACTCATTATATTTTCAATTGCGGCTCAGAGTGCACTCCACTGAATACGCCGAGCAACATGTTGCTAAGAGTGAACAGCCACATGTTGCGAAGCATCACCAGCAACATTTCGAAATTCGGTTGGCAACGCCTTTAAATGAAACCATCCTTAGATAACCCCTATATCCTTAAACGCCTATCGATGCAATTGACCTTTACAATCCTAACGCGCCATATTTTTTGAAAATCTGCAAGGATATGGCCAAGATATGGCTACTTTTCTAAAATTATTTGTATCACAAAACCGGCCATAGCTCGGCTATTTCAAGGACTATCCTGATGTCCTTTCGCCAGCAGACAGTCGTCATCCCGACCATTCAGAAATTGTAGGACGAAGGACGAAAATCCTTCAGGGAGCCTAGTTAGAAGGATACATTTTGTGCACAGAAAATAGGCTATAGCTCGGCCGTATCCTTGCAGATCCTTACGAGTCCTGTTTCAAATGAAGGGTATGGACCAGACCTACCAACTGGCCAAAGGATATCGAGATCGTCCTTTTACTTTCTGCGATATGGCTATTATTGTAAAAAGGACATTCTATTTATAGCCATATATCGGTCATATCCTTAAGGATATCAAAAGGATATACTTTTTTGAACTCGTAGGAGGCAGGACTATCGATTGGCGTTCAAGGATTTTCAGGATTCCACCAAAAATATCACCTCAAATTTTTGTAAGGGGGTTAGTCAGAAAATTGGAAAAAAACGGAAAAATCCGGGCTAACTTGGCCATTTTAAGGACTATCGCGATGTCCTTTGGCCAGCAGAATGTCCTTGGCGTCCTGATTCAGAATTAGCAACAAAAAGGACGAAAGTCCTTCAAACAGCAGAGCAAAAATGTAAATTTTTAGAACAGAAAATAGCTTATAACTCGGCCATATCCTTGCGTATCCTGACGAGTCCTGTGTCAAATGAATTGTATGGACCAGGCCTACCAACTGGCCAAAGGACATCGAAATCGTCCTTGTACTTTCTGAAATATCGAGGTTTTTGTGTTTTTGGCCTGTTTCCTTGCGGCCGGCGACTGAAAATTTGACAAGTCCTGGATTCTTAGATGACCCCATAGTTTTTTGATGCAAATCGATGCAGTTGATGCTTGCGATCCTAACGCGCCATATTTTTTGAAAATCTGCAAGGATATGGCCAAGATATGGCTACTTTTCTAAAATTATTTGTATCACAAAACCGGCCATAGCTCGGCTATTTCAAGGACTATCCTGATGTCCTTTCGCCAGCAGACACTCCTCATCCCGACCTTTCAGAAATTGTAGGACGAAGGACGAAAATCCTTCAGGGAGCCTAGTTAGAAGGATACATTTTGTGCACAGAAAATAGGCTATAGCTCGGCCGTATCCTTGCAGATCCTTACGAGTCCTGTTTCAAATGAAGGGTATGGACCAGACCTACCAACTGGCCAAAGGATATCGAGATCGTCCTTTTACTTTCTGCGATATGGCTATTATTGTAAAAAGGACATTCTATTTATAGCCATATATCGGTCATATCCTTAAGGATATCAAAAGGATATACTTTTTTGAACTCGTAGGAGGCAGGACTATCGATTGGCGTTCAAGGATTTTCAGGATTCCACCAAAAATATCACCTCAAATTTTTGTAAGGGGGTTAGTCAGAAAATTGGAAAAAAACGGAAAAATCCGGGCTAACTTGGCCATTTTAAGGACTATCGCGATGTCCTTTGGCCAGCAGAATGTCCTTGGCGTCCTGATTCAGAATTAGCAACAAAAAGGACGAAAGTCCTTCAAACAGCAGAGCAAAAATGTAAATTTTTAGAACAGAAAATAGCTTATAACTCGGCCATATCCTTGCGTATCCTGACGAGTCCTGTGTCAAATGAATTGTATGGACCAGGCCTACCAACTGGCCAAAGGACATCGAAATCGTCCTTGTACTTTCTGAAATATCGAGGTTTTTGTGTTTTTGGCCTGTTTCCTTGCGGCCGGCGACTGAAAATTTGACAAGTCCTGGATTCTTAGATGACCCCATAGTTTTTTGATGCAAATCGATGCAGTTGATGCTTGCGATCCTAACGCGCCATATTTTTTGAAAATCTGCAAGGATATGGCCAAGATATGGCTACTTTTCTAAAATTATTTGTATCACAAAACCGGCCATAGCTCGGCTATTTCAAGGACTATCCTGATGTCCTTTCGCCAGCAGACACTCCTCATCCCGACCTTTCAGAAATTGTAGGACGAAGGACGAAAATCCTTCAGGGAGCCTAGTTAGAAGGATACATTTTGTGCACAGAAAATAGGCTATAGCTCGGCCGTATCCTTGCAGATCCTTACGAGTCCTGTTTCAAATGAAGGGTATGGACCAGACCTACCAACTGGCCAAAGGATATCGAGATCGTCCTTTTGGTTTCGAAATATGGTCGATTAGTCTGTGGAGGCACCGCAAAAATATGCAACAGTATATAAAGTGCAAAATAAATTGATTTTTTCTGTTGGTTTTTATTTAAATAAATAACTTAAAAGATATAGCCTACAGTATATTAGTCCTACACATTTTAAAAACTACGGTTTAAATTCATTTTTTTTTATTTTATTTATTTTACAATGAATGGAGAGAAAGTGCACATATTTTAAGGCCGTTCAAAAAAGCTTTAAATAACGCGCACAAAAGTGTGCTTTAAAAAATGTAAATATATTATATATACATTTTATATTTATTTATTATTTTGGGCCAAGAAGTGAAAATCAAAAAACGTGGTACAGAGATCAGTACGAGTTCACAAAGGTATATCTTTCCAAAATCGGACCATTTTTAGCCGAATTATCGCAAAAAAATTATCATTTTTTCGCGTTTTTCAAATGTCCAAATAAGCCCCGATCTCGGAAAGATTGGTCGCATTCAACTCGTGGTCACATCCATTTTTAGCCAACATCGTCATTTTTGCAAAAAACATACATAGTAGTTTTCCTTAAATTGGGCCATTTCTTAGAATTCAGATTTGTTGGTGTCTGTCGATAGTCGGGATCCGTACGAGAAAAAAGAGGTATATCATTTCGAAATCGGACATATGGTACCCGAGGTATTTAAATTTTAATTTTAATTTCAAAAATAAGTCAAAACGTATTATGCAGACAGCACGAAAGTATGCAGTACTACTAAAATTCTGCTAAAAGCCGCTACTAACGGCTATAAATGGCTATTTCTCGGCCAATATCGGGCAGATTGGGCACGAATGTTTTTTTTGGAAATGGCGATATCTCGGCTAAATAAAGCCCGATTTCGGAGCGATATACATATATATATAATACCTGTTTTTACTCGTACGGTTGCCGACTATCGATTGCCACACAAAAAACCGCATTCTAAACCGCAAGACAAACCAGAATGTTGCTTGCAATATTATATAATTAATATTAATATTAATATTAATCTCCAAAGGAACGTGCTGATGCATTTGCTGAAGACTTAGAGGAACGCTTCAAGCCTTTTAATACAAGCTCAGCAAACATGAACAGAAGGGTTCAACTCACACTGGAGAGAAAGCAAATGTCAATTACAAACAAATACTATGCTTTTAAATAAATCTATTTAAACAACAAATAAAAACAATAAAAGGTTAATTAAAATAACAAATAACTATGAAAAGAAATTAAATAACGTGCAAATACAAATGCTGACATCATTAATTGTGAAAAATCATTAACAAAGTCAATGAGCTAAAAATAAAAAACTATTAACACGACAATTTCGATTAAATAGCCAAAATGTTAAATGGATGAACATATGAATGTTAAATACACACAAACATAGTTCGAATCAAAATTGAGCACAATAGTTTGTTAATCGCAGTTACCCGGACATTTGATGTCAGTTTTTTCAGAATTTATCTAAAACACAGAAAATAAAAAAAAATTCAAAATGCCAAATTTTAAATTAATTATTTGTAGAAAGTTGAACAAGGCATTTGGCCCAATCTTCCGTAGATCTACTTTAGGTTGGCCTCTCTTTCATTTTTTAGTTTCCACAATCTTCACACGATTGCTTTCAATGAAATGACGAACACCAAATATCTGGTTTTTATAATATACCTGATCAGCCTTTGGGTAAGTGCATTGCAGCTGCAATCGACATAATTATTTATATATGTAAAATATTCCCAAAGGCCGTCTTATGCGCCAAAGAGGAGTACGTGGTCAAAAGTGATGGTAGGACTGTCTACAAGTACGTAGACAAACAAGGCATGGAGTGGGAATATGAGCACATGACGGAGAAAGTGCCCGGCAAAGCCAAGGCAGACGATGTGATTGTCTATAATGGAGTATGGACGCCAAATACGCGCTCCCATGCCCACAATTTCAAGAGTTTCACTCTATTAATATTCACTCTAGTTCGCTTGATAATCTGAATACGTGGCAAGAACTACTTAACCAATACATATTTGGCCATCATTAAATATTTGCTATTGCATTTTGGCCAACTGTCACGTCACATAATTCAAATACAAATGTTTGCATAATTGCAAAAAATAGAACGAGTAAAATGAATAAACAGACAAACATACGGAACATTCAAAATGTTCGCTAATGAACTCTATTTGCGGAGTTTGGTTTTCATTTCGGCTGCCAAAGGACATGCTTTTCACTTGTGCTGCCTGTTTGCATAATTTTCACACGCATTTGTTTAGCTTTTCAAGAGAGACACATTCGCAGCTGGA